TGAATTTCCGCGGGTTACGTATATTCAATTTTCGATTTTTTTGTGGCGTTATATTGGTACTCATGTCCCTCACTTATGCCGACAAATTCGGCCATTATGAATATTCAGTTTATCTTTGACAGCTGTTTTGTTTGGACGTGTTTTGGCTCGTCTTCGATTTTTGCCTATTCCAAAAAATGGATCAAAGAATCTAACAAAATTAAGTGCGCGGACGCATTCCGAATGTTGACTGTGGCATATGGTGAAGCTACCTTGGACCGAAGCAACATTTATCGGTGGTACAAAATGTTTTCAGAGGGCCGAGAAGATGTGAACGACGAAGAGCGTGCCGGACGCCCGAGCACGTCAACAACAGACGAAAACATTGATGAAGTGAAGAAAATAGTATTGGCCAATCGTCGAATCACCGTTAGAGAAGTTGCTGAGGACCTAAACATATCGATTGGCTCGTGCCATTCGATTTTTACTAATGATTTGGGCATGAGACGGGTCGCCGCGAAATTCGTACCAACGCCCCTGCTCACACATCGTTGCTTGTGCGCGAATTTTTGGCCAAAAACAACACACTAATGATGCCGCAGCCACCGTATTCCCCAGACCTGGCCCCCTGTGACTTTTTCTTGTTCCCGAAACTGAAGAGGCACATGAAAGGACGACGCTACGCTACGATTGAGGAGATAAAGACGGCATCGAAGGAGGAGCTGAACAAGATCACAAAAAATGATTTTTTGAAGTGCTTCGAGGATTGGAAAAAACGTTGGCACAAGTGTATAATATCTGATGGGGATTACTTTGAAGGAGACAAAATAGATATTCATGAATAAATAAATAATTTTTGGAAAAACACAAAATTCGCGATAGTTTTTGAACAGACCTCGTATACATATTCATACTATATAATCATGGCTGAACAAAGTTCCGAAAATGTATTACAAATACACCATCCGATAAACTTATCGCACAAGATACAATAGGTAGTAGAATCACCGTGCGTAACTCATTTTCCGCGTAATCTGATATTTACATTTTAGACGGCGAACACAAACGGTGTACACGCGTGTGAATACAGATCGCAATCGGTATACTTCTCGTGCGAAAAACTATCTGTAATATAGCCGGGCGTCGTGGAGGAGTTCGCAAAATGAGAAGCATACATTTACATTGCGATTACGATGTACGGCGGGTTGCGCGAGATTACGTGTATTCAAATGGCGTAACGGTATCATACTGGTTTTCCTAGCTTCTCGTCGAGACCTCCTACCTTTACCGAATTAGCGTGCGCACAAATATATAATTATTTCCCGCCTAATTTTTATCCCCCTTCATATTACCGCGCGCGGAGTGATACGCGAGACGTACGTTGGGCGCGGGAGAGAGATTCCGAATACATCGTTACCGTCCCTGCAATATTACGTTTCACCGGGTTATACGACCTATAGAGAGAGAAGTGGGCAAAGGGTTAAACGTGTTATCGCCGCAATTTCCTGCTAGTCATCGCGCCCGGAAAATCAGACGATGAATACGCGCGCGATAATAAAACGCGCGTGCGCGCGTCAAGGACGCCGGCGGTCGTAAAGTGAGCGCGCACTCTCCGCCATGTATTCGCAACAAATAGTCGGCAATCGTAGCGACACCGGTATCGTTTAAACCATAGGCCAACATTCCGCCCTTTCAACCCTTTTGTATCGTAGTGTGTATGTTCGCAGCGGAAAGGCGACGTACGTTTCGCGGCGCTCATTGTTTCCCGTCCATAAATGCCAGCGCGCGATGACGCGCCGTTTCGCACACGCATCGTCCACCATCGCGATTCATTGCGTATCAAACTCTCATTTATTTTTCGCGCATTTTCGCGCGGGGTCACCGTGCGATCGCGCGCGCGCAGACATACCCGCGTGCATTACACGCGTGCACACACGCGCCGACCGTTCACCCTTGTAAATTGCTGTACGGCTGGCAGGCCGCTTCAGTGTGAATCGAAGGCATAAAGTGCGAAATTTACAGTTCGCAGGGGAACACGCTGGTGTGATTCACACTTATCGCGTTTCCGCGTTTCACGCTGGAAAGACATTCGTTTCGAGATTCGGCCGGACGTGTGCGTGACAATATTTTAGTTGACTATCACCGACGCGGACCGAACGGTGCGCGCGCGGAATCTGAAGAATAAATGCGTCGTAACAGCGACGATTCACGTATGCCGAAATGCGAAATACGAGCAGATCGTGTCTAATCTGAGGGGACGCGCGCCACGCCTACGAATCCAAATGTATCTCTTTCGTCGCAGCTCGGGCCGTTATTGTCGCTACCGGCCGGCCGTATCGGCGCGGCCTGTAAATTCCGAGCGCGAGCCCATCTAACTCGCGCGCGCCAGCTGCGTACTCTTAAATCCACGAAAAACCATACGCGGTCGCGAACCGAGGGCTCGCGGGGGGGACGGCGAGGGCGCGAGGGCAGTATTAATTTCCCGGTGGTGATCGTGTGCGGTTGCGCGCCTTCGCTTCGCCATGCGTGAAATTGCAACTGCCACGCCATATCGGGCGTGCGTATTCGGCCGAAATTTTAATTTCGCATTTCCACCTGACGTGACATCGACGGTGTGCGCGCAAAAAGCGGATTGTCGCTTGGCGATTAAGCCGAGAGAGAGAGAGAGACAGAGAGAGAGAGAGAGAGGGAGGTCGCGGCGGGCGGGATTAATGTCCTGCGACTAATTGCGCGCTCTTGCGCCCGGGAGCTTAGACGAGCACAATCCGCCAGCTAGTCTCACCGCTTGTCGGAAGGATCGAGTTCTTCCGCGAGGAGGAATCGACGGAACGCGACGACGCATCATTACGTTGTTCCGTGCGTTCTATCGGATTCCGCGCAGCTTCCTACAGCTTCCTGCGGTATAAAGGCCCTGCGGCGCGCCGCCACAAACGATTCCCCTTTTCGTTGGAGTCCTGCGTCAAGTTACGAAGACGCCTCCCTGTTCGCGGTTGCTCTCTATTCGAGAGCACGTGGAACTAGCATAAGCATCCAACTTGTAACTCGACATGAGATTATATGAGGGTGGTCCCAGAAGTACCCGACCCAACAAAGAAAACACAAAAATTGTGGAAAAAGTGTATTTATTTTTCAACATAATCTCCTTTCAGCTCTATACACTTTTCCCAGTGATGTTCAATAAGTTCGATACCCTTTTTATAATAAGAACTGTCTTGCTCCCCGCTCCCCATCAAGACAATGCACCAGCTCACAAATCCGTTATTGCAATGGCCAAAATTAATGAATTAAAGTTTGAATTGCTACCTCATGCACCCCATTCGCCAGATTTAGCCCCCTCGGATTATTTTCTGTTTCCAAACTTGAAAAAATGGCTCAGTGGTCAAAGATTTTCCAACGATGAAGAAGTGATGTCGGCAGTTAATGGTTATTTTGAGGAGCAAGACAGTTCTTATTATAAAAAGGGTATCGAACTTATTGAACATCGCTGGGAAAAGTGCATAGAGCTGAAAGGAGATTATGTTGAAAAAAAAATACACTTTTTCCAAAATTTTTGTGTTTTCTTTGTTGGGTCGGGTACTTCTGGGACCACCCTCGTACTCGATTTATATGACGGGAGATGTGGCATGATTGATCAATTCATCCGTATGGTTGCGCGTATCACGATCCGAATTTTCTGAATTTTCTTTTCCTCTTGTCTGAAAAAAATTGCTCGGGAATTCCTGTGGGATTAGCGTGATATCTGATCAAGATGCCACGTCTAGACTATTTGGCCTGGATGAGAATGTATATGGACGTTGCTTAAATTATAGGGGTGTCGTTATCTCGGGTCTAGTCTGAATCATCAGAGACACTTTCGAAGGTATCGTCGACTCAGACTGATTGAATTCGGCTCAAGTGCGGTCGCATGTATCGGATCAAATATTTATTAGTCTGTGGTATTTGACAACTTTCTTATATTTCTCATATCCCACTTTCGCTAAATGTATTAGGGTAACTCCGGCATTTACGCCGTCTGGGGATTTACGCCGCAGAAGTCAGGAAAAATAGAAAGAGTGGGAATAATTTACCGCAACCGCACTCTGTTATACGCCTTTATGTTATGTTAATATTGCGTTATGATTTCCACTTTTTATCGTTAATATTAATGAAATCCTCGTGAATTGAATCGATTGAGAAATCATGAATTATAATTGCATTACTTAACACATTAATGCAATCATATATTATGACGTACTTAAAATGATTACTGTAGGGAATGTAAAAGGCTTAATAATTATTTTGCGATACATCATTGTAGAGAGATTAAAAGTTGGAGTGTAGCAAAATACACATATGCTTAACTCTTGTATTCTTTGTTTAGCTTGATGTCTTGTACTGGGTCTATGCATAATTTTGCAGAGAAATTCCGACATATGTTGTTCGCAACTGTTTTTCCGCTCGCACATGCGTCAAATGTATGAAGTATCGTACCTTAAGGGGCCCGAACACTAAAATTTTCAAAAAATCGATTTTTTATTTTTTTGCTAAATCAATAGTTTACACATCGAAGAACATGTATGTAAAGTTTCAAGTAAAAATTCGAACTCTAAGTATTTGAAAAGAGCGTCAGACGCTGACGTGTTGACCGAGTGTTTTTGGGCGTTTCGGAGCGCTGCGCGCGTATGGTAAATATAACCTTAAATTTAGTGAACACAACGTGCTCTTATTTTGTTGACAAAAGTTTTGATTTACGTGTTTTTGAAAGTTAAAAACATTGTGATTGTTTAAATAATGGATAAAAGAGGTAAGAGGCACTCTGCTGAAAAGACGACAAAAATTCGCGCCAAAATCTACGTTTAGTGGAGCCAAAACTGTACAAATTGCAGCTAATATCGCTACTATTAAATTTAATAATGGTCATACGGCTCTTCTCCGTGTGTTAGAACTCATGGGAATTCGCATTGGAATGAATCTCTACGATTATTGCCAAAAAATCGACGAAGAACGCATAAAGTACGCGAATCGTCATACACAGACTAACACGCACGAAGGACGTTTGCATGCCCAGCAAGTACTTCGAAGACAAACTATGGATGACGAAGAGCTGCTATACGGTCCAGGGATAGCAGACTAATAAAATAAAACACGTAAGACCTTTTTTTCTACCTTATTTCATTCGATTTACCCCTTTCAAAACTTAATACGCGTTTTTCTCGAAACCATGTTTTTTGACCGCATTGACAGCATAACTCGAACAGTATTAATCCGATCGACCTGATTCAAAACGGATTTTGTAGAGGAAACGTGTCGCTATGGCATGACGTAACCGTTTTTTGATACTTGCCATACATTTTTTAAAAACAATTTAGTGCAAAAATTTACGCAAAAAAAAATTTTTTTCCTAAAATAGCCGCCATTTTTTTTCTAATCACAATTTTCAAAATCCCCTACGTCGGGCCATAGTAAGTAATATATATTTAAAGAATCTTTTTTGTTTTTTGCCCTAGGACGCTCCGTTTTGCTGGAATGCTGTCAACCACCCAAGGGTCATTTAAAAAAGACGCAATTTTAGATTAGCTGCAGAAAAAACAATGGCCGCCACAAAAAAAAAATTTTTTTTCATATAATTTAAACATTCATAAACATATGTTTAAAGTTACATGTAAATCGGTTAATCCGTTTTTTTTTAATAAATAAAATAAAAACCATATGAAATATCGCCGTTTACAGTGTTCCAGTGTTCGGGCCCCTTAAGTAAAAGCTGAAATTTGTGTCGACCTATTAAAAAAGTTTTCATCGAGATCCGTGACGTATATGAAGTTTAATTATATTTTGAATATGGAAGAAAAAAGCGTGTATTTTCAGTGCATTTCGCTTTTTTATTTCCGAAAAGGCAAATACACGACGTAAACTCACAAAAAGGTATGTGCCGTGTACGGAGAGAATGCTATAAGCGAAATTGTGTGTTGGAAGTGGTTTGCGAAATTTCGTTGCGAAGATTTTGATCTCCAAGGTGCTGCTCGCTCTGGTCGACCAGTCACTATTGATGTCGATCAAATCAAGGTTTTAATCGACTCCGATCGGCATTTGACGACCACAGAGATCGGACATAACCTTAAAATTGACCAATTAACTGCTTCGAGACATTTACGGAAGCTTGGGATGGTAAACAAGCTTGATGTTTGGGTGCCGCACGAACTGAGCGAAGAGAATGTAATGGACCGAATTTCACCTTGCGATTCGCTGCTCAAACGCCATCAAACGAACCATTTTTAAAGCGGATGATCACTGGCAATGAAAAGTGGATTGTCTGACTGACAACAATGTTAGTCGAAAAAAATTATGGTCGAAGCGCGGGGAAGGTGCTCAGACGGTCGCAAAGGCTGGATTACACCCGAAAAGGGTCATGCTCAGTATCTGGTGGAAAGGAAAGGTATTGTTACATCCTGGGTACCTCGGGAACTACGAATTTCTTTTTTTATATATATGATTGGGAAGCAGACGGACATCCGGCAAGCGCTATCGTGAAAGGGATAAGATTACGATGGCTCGCTGTTAAACGCGCCGTGTGGTTCCTAACGTATCTGTCATCTCTTCCGCCTTCACGTAAGACGCATAGTTTTGTTACATCCTGGGTACCCCAGGAGCAACAAATTCCTTTTTTATGATTAGGAAATAGGCGGATTTGGGCAAGCGCTATCATACAAAGGATATAATTATACGCTACCAAATGCGTCATGAGTTTCTCAAAGCATCCGTGATTTTATCCGTTTTCTAATCTTCCATATCCGTTTCCCGTTTTCCACGAAAACTCTTCTCATTGGCGATCGTCATCCGCCACCCCCAAAATCTTCCCTATAAAACCCTTACTCTCTAGTTAGGCAGAGTCAGTCGGTCAATATCAGTCAGTCAGAGTCAGTCGATCAGTCATTTTTCTTTTTCTTCTTCTGCTGAGTATCAACGAACCCATGTTCTACGTACTATTCACTACAGTCGATTCAACTAAATCGTAAGTCTCTATTTAACCCCTTAACGCACAGTTTTTTTTTAGAAAAACCGGCCAAAAAAATCAATTTTTTTTATGTAAAAAAATTTTTTTCTTTGCTTTCACATTGTTATTTTCAATTCTCGATTATATTTGAGTGTGAAAAATTATAACAGCATAAAATACAACGCCGCTCGAATTATCTCGAGTGTGCACAGTTTGGCCTATTTAGCGCGCTCGAATTAACTCGAGCGTACAAGTTAAGGGGTTAAACATGAGACTTTTAATCGTTTCAATTCAATCTCCAATCTCACTTCACTCTTTAAAACACACACAGTTTTGCGGATGTAAGATGTCGGCCCTACGATTCAACCCCTATAACCTGGAGGTGCCAGGTCATTTAAATTTGGGGTTTCCGTACAGAGACCTCCTCCTCCTCCCCCTTCCTTTCACATATGCATGTGGTGCGCACACAGATTGTATACATGCATATGGGACCTAAAGTTTTTAGCGCCGGATCCGAACGGCAGTTTTTAGAGAGGAGTTGGAGGGAAGTTTTCTTGGCATGAGATTACTCTTGGTTGGTTTGCCGGACCACCGAAGAGGAGCTACGAGCGTATGAAAAATTTTCTGGTTCTGCCGGGGGGATCGAACCCGGGAGACCTTTAGCATAGTAGACTAGTGCGCTGTCTACCACGCCACGCTCGCGCTCTTAATTAACTATTAGTTTGAAAGAATTAATAGAATTGTTAATATGGGATACAGGGTTAGCTTGACGGATAGAAAATTTTCAGCGTATGTTTAAAAAGTTTGACAAACTAGTCGATGCGTACATTGACACTATCAAACATATTTGTCATTCCTTATAAAATAATTGATTCGCACTAACAATCGCATTGGCTTTTACGAGGATTGCTAATTATATTTTTGGCCTAATAATGAAAAAACAAATATTTATGATCGAAATTGGTTTTATTGTTTTTCAAAATATTCTCCATGATGATCAATATACTTTTGCATGCGTTTGAACCAATTTTCGAAGCACTTTTTCTACTCCGATTGAGGTAACTGCAAAACATGCGTTTTGAATGCATCAACTGCTTCTTCGGGTGTCGAAAATCATTGACCACGTAATTTATTTTTGATGTGCGGGAACAAAAAAAAGTCATTGGGTGCCAAATCAGCTGTACGGCGGATGACCCATCAATTCGATGTTTTGACCGGTCAAAAATTCCTTTGTTTGACCCGATGTGTGATAGCTTGCATTGTCATGATAAAGAATGATTCGCCTCTTCTTCTGCTTTTCTCGAATTTCTCCGATGTCTTCTGGCAAACAAATGGTCGTGTACCATTCAGAATTGACCTACGGTGATCTAACGCCACTGTCGCCACGTGACCGGTAATGCCGAAGAAACCATTTGCTTCGATGTGCTTCTTCCGCGAACAACTTTTGTTGGATTAAACTCGTCTTGGAAGACCCATACAGTCGATTGCTGTTTTGTTTCGGGCTCATATGCATAGATCCATGATTCGTTACCTGTGTAGATGTTATACACAGCCTTTGATTGAACGTATTTTTTCAACATTTCCTTGCACCAATCAACACGAGTCTTCTTTTGAGCGTTTGTCAGATTATGCGGGATCCAACAAATTTTTTTTACGGATAAATGTTCATGCAATATCTTATTGATGCTTGTCATACTAATGCCCAAAGATGCCTCAATCTCACGGTATATCACATGACGATCTTGCTTTATCAGTTCACGTACAGCATCGATATTTTCTGGCACAACAACCGATTTTGGACGATCTTCACGGAATTCGTCCTGGAGCGAACGTCGGCCACGATTGAATTCGTTATACCAGTTTTTTACAGTGCTGTAGATTGATGCTTTCTCGCTGCATAAAGAATAAAGTTCATCGATTCACTCTTGTCTTGATAACCCACGTCGAAAGTTATGAAAAATAATCGCACAAAAATGTTCACGAGTTAATTCCATTTTTTGCCAGAAATGAATTTTTCAATTCATTCACTGTAAACAACACAAACCGCGCTCAAATGACAGTGTGTTCTTATGTTCTTATGTTCAACAATGTCAAGTTTCCAATGACAACGTCAGGTGGCGCCTGGCAACACTTACTGCTATCAAGGCTAGAAATATAAATAGCTACCTACGTATTGGCATGTTTTTCATATTCCTTGATTATATAATCACACGAAATACTTTAGGTATTTATATTTTNCATTTTGAAAGTAATCTTTCTCGAAGCAGTTCGTATCTACACAAATTCTTTTGTTTGAAATGAACGCTGCACACGTCACCTTTCCAACGATATGTCTTACGGAGATGGCGGTATTAATGACAAAACTTTACGCCGCTTCTAACGCCATCTATTGCACCTCCGCACGAACTTTTGCACTCACCCAATATATATATGCGCACGAGTTAAGCATGGTATCTTTAAAAAAATAAGTTCGTATGTTATCTTCCTAATATGATATTCAGTTAAACTGTCCTTCGACTTTGCTAATGACAGTCGCACGTGGCACGAAGCACGCCGCAGCAAAAAACAGTCGATTAGCAATCAACAGCGGAACAAAAGTTTCATCCTATGTTTAGCATAAGAATGGGATTCCTAACTAATATCGTGGGATAACTTGATTTAAGACAATTTTGTATATCTAGTCAGAACTTACGTTGTATTTGGAAAAATTTTTACTGTCTGTCACACAAGCGTGTGTCGGCAATATCTTTGAAACTTGATATCTAATGGAAGCGAGACCACGATAATCTAAATGTATACAGTTCTCTTGAATATGCGTTAGCTCAGTTTTTTACAAATATATTTGCATCAATAAAGAGAACATAGCTTTAGAGATAAATGCTACGTGTACAAAACAGTTTGAAACGGTTTTTCTGTGTAGTCACCTAAAAGGACCAAAAATGAGTTTTGTAAGTGCTGCTAAATACCTGCATAAGTCGTCACAGTTCGTTAGGAAATGGGTAAAACGACATAAAGAAATAAAAAATGTCGATGACTTTCCAGATCGCGGCTCAAAGTGAAAGATTACCAACAGGAAAGATAAAGTGATTCTTCGATTTCTTGAGAAAAATCTGAATCTTTTTTTACGAGGAGGGCAAGCAGTTTTGGCAAAAAAGGTTTTTGCAAACGTTAGTATAATGACACTGAAATGTCGTTTGGAAGAGCATAATATGGCGTACGATATCCAAACTGTTATTTTTGTTACGTCCTGGAAGAGGATGTACGCAATAAACATCGCATACTCGTGCACTCGCGAGGTCTAAACATACTGACAGGTCTGTAGATCAGGTCAAGGTCCGGAAAGGTCCATTTACTCCGATCGCAGAACGTACGTTAGGTGGTCCTTTATTTAGGTTAAAGAACTTAATCTCTTTATCTGGGATAGGACCATATGAGAGTTTTGAAAGGGGAATTCTGATTGAAAGGAAATGAATGAATACATGTAACAACTTAGTTAAATTTAGGACACTCTGAATAGAACAGTTTATTAATTATACAAATAAAAATGTGGTTCTCACATAGATTAACAATAGTGATAAATTGATGAGAAAAGTCATTGAAAATGATAAAATATTTAAAAGA